ATCTATCATCTATCTTTATTTATCCTAGGAGTATGATATAATAAGTTCACTTACACCTTCAGGAAGGTGTCTACATTCTGGGGTCAAATCTAGAAATTCATTCTTGGAACAATTTGTTTCTTTTATCGAATATTCCAAATTGTAATTCCATCCATTAACCACCTGCAAGAAATTTAAGAGAAGTTTCTTGTTAAGAGAAAAGAAATTACAATGTACCTTGGGACACAACTGCTTTGGAACTCATTGAATTTGGTACCCAATGCATTTTGACGAGAAAATTTTGTCCCGATACTTGCTATTTGTTTGGTACTCGGCGTGGAAGCTAGAACTTGTTGATGTCCGTTGCCTCGCGACTCACTACTTCTTCCAGCCAAAACAAAGGTGACACGTTAGTCGTGCAGTAACCCTTACTCTGTGCACAACCCCTTGCAGTTTTATCTTAGCGCCTGTGATCATCTTGTATATTTTTGTGCTTCTTTCCCTCATCAGCACAAGCTGGAAGGGATATTGGGGGTCTTCCAGTGCAGTCCCCTGTTGAAGCAGGAGAACCTATACTAATCTGGGCCGGTCATCGGGACCAGAGGTTTTGTCTTCCGAACTTCCAGACTCATACTGGAGCTCATCCTCAAAGAACTCATCTCTAGCAGAGTGTGTACTGTTCTGTGTGTGGTATTTATATTGCCTGTTGTATATAGCTTTTTAGATGTTGATTGGGGTGTGTTGATGACTGGCTGTTAAGTCATCTTTAAGTATTTATTGATTTTTAGGTTTATTTCTCATGTAAAGTAATGATATACAGCCTGTCTTTTTATATATTGCCTTAAAATGTGCATTGGTTTCGGTTTGGGAATGCATGATATTTATTAATATTATTCCTTATGGGAAAAATGTGCTTGATACCCATAATTTTGGGTACTCATCGCACCTCCCGGAACCAATTAATGACAAGTACCGAGGTACCATTGTAGTTTAAATAAAATTGCCACAGACTACTATCAGAATTATATTTATACTTTGTGTGTTTAACAGAGCTGTTTTCTTTTCTTTTTTTTAACAAAGGAAGGTTTCACAAACATACCCAAAGGGAGGACATTCCACATTTTCAGATTTAATTATAAATCCATCCAAATTACCTAATTCTGGAAAGGTAAGATGGAGAATTATTGGAACATATACCAACCTGACGAGTCGCTGTTTTCATTTCTCTAACTTCATATAAGGCAGATTGTTGACTCTGATTGTTAAATTGCCGTATGGTGAATCTCACAATCGGAAGCACTTCCAAACTCTTAGGGTCTATGGGATGCCAGCACCCCAGGCATTGTGCAGTAGACCGTATTACATTCTCCTGTCCTGAAAGCAAGCCAACCACAAATTAGAAAAAGGAAAACAAAAGCAAAGAAATTAAAAGTGAAAGTAACATGGAAATTACTGCAGTGCTCAGTAGAATAGAATCAAATTCTTTATTGGCCAAGTGTGATTGGACACACAAGGAGTTTGTCTTGGTGCAAATGTGTTCGGTGTACATAAAAAGAAAAGAATCATCAAGAATCATCATGTACAACACTTAATAATAGTCACAGGGTACAATAAGCAATCAAATCATACGAGGAAACTGTCAATATAAACCATAAGGATTCAAGCTACAAAGTTACAGTCATGCAGTCACAAGTGGGAGGGGATGGGTGATAAGGAGTGATGACCAGATTAACAGTAATAGTAGTGCAGACTTTGTAATAGTTGAACAGTGTTGAGGGAAATATTTGTTTAGCAGAGTGATGGCATTCGAGAAAAAACTGTTCTTGTGTCTAGTTGTTCTGGTGTGCAGTGCTCTATAGCGTCGTTTTGAAGGAAGGAGTTGAAACAGTTTATATTGTGAGGGGTCTGTAAATATTTTCACAGCCTTCTTTTTGACTCTGCAGTATACAGGTCCTCGATTGAAGGCACAAACAGGTAAAGATGAGAGATTAAAGAAAGGACAAATGAAAAAAGTAGTTTAGGAAAGGATGAGCGATGTGAGGTAATTCATCTTTAGAGAAATCAGTGGTAGACAATATTGTACATTGCCTTTCAACACTGGGGTTTATTACATCTAATCTTTGCACAGATGGTAGTTACAACCTACATCTAAATAAAAGTGAGATCTAATCCCAGCCTACGAACAATATACGAACTTTTGGCTCTTATAGTCTTGCTGGACAAAAATGACACATAGCATCCTATTCCGTCCTGGAGTAGAGTGCTATGTGTCATCCTGGTGACCACCAAGTACTATAACTCCCAGAATTCATTTCCAGAATTCTTCTGGCTATGAATTCTGGGAGTTGTGATTGTAACATACTGTATTAGGAAGGAATGAGTTGGATGAAGATGAACGAGAGGATAAACTATGGACTGGATGAGAAACACATAGTGGCTCTCCCAAAGCTATTTATGGGCTAGAAAGGAAACTCCAGAAACCAGATAATTACATAGATTGTGAGGATCTAAGTGCCATTAAGGTGAGAGACTTATCACCTGCTAGGCTTCAAATGTTGCTGCAAAATTTAACCTTTTTTTCTCCCACATTGTAATATCTGGATTGAATCATGAACTTGTTCAAATTCAGGAAAACCATCTTATCAACTATGCTATAGAACTAATAGATGATCAAATCTCTAATAGAGTTGAAGAGAAGGGATGGAGAAGATGCCCCAATTGTCCCTTTTTTAGACAAGCACAAAGAGGATTTTTTTGGTAGGCAGAGGTGCATTTTTGGGGGGGGAGGTGTCACTTTTGAATTTTAACTTTGAAAACACAATCTCCTGGCCACTGAATGCTGCTGACAGCTAGGTGTCACCATTACATTGTGAATATATTTTAAACCACAAAGATTAAAAAAAAAAACCCTGCCTTTTTATTTTAAAAAGTTTAGTTCAGTAAACTAACAACCTGAGATGCATCTGCACAGATGTTTTGCACAGGGATTGCTGGAGAAATAACTCTTGTGGCTGAATTCACCAACATATATTATAAATCCTTAGAACTGATAGATGGAAAGAAACAGAATAACAGAGCTGGAAAGGATCTTGAAGGTTTTCTAGGGAAACCCTATACCACTTGAGAAAAACAGTTGTCCAATCACTTCTTTAAAATCTCCAGTGTTGGAGCACCCACAGCTTCTGGAGACAAGTTGTCCCACTGATTAATTGATGCTAACATTAATAGATGTGAAAATTTTTACGCTGAAATTGTCAGCGCTGCAAGGGTTGATTAAGATGAGAAATGAGGTAAGGCATGGAGGGAAAAGGCATCCGTTGTGCTCTCTAAAGTCCCTCATCACTACAATTGAACTAATTTTTCCCATGGGAATTTTACGGAGTAATATCTTAATGTAGGAATTTTTGGAGAACGATAAAGGGCTGAACGGTTTAAAAGCCTTAACTCTAAACTAGTGGTCGCCAACTGGTGGGCCGGGGACCACTGGTGGTCCACAAGAAAATTTTAGTGATCTGCAGATAAATGTCCCCTCCACCCACAAGCAATTCATCCAGGTTGCACACGAACACAAGGCTGTACTGCTTTTTGCACATCGCACCACCTGCAAATTTGCACATTGCACATGCCACCTTCTATGGCAGAGATTTCCAACTATGGGCTGGTCCCATATTCCAGAGCTTCAGTAGTCACAAGACTGGCCCTTTGGTCATCCCGGAGCAGCTCACCCATGGCAGGCTGGTGCATAGACCAGTCCTGTGACTACTGCAGCTCTGGAATATGGGACCGACTTTCTCACCAACATCAGCAAGCCACTGTCAGTCAAAATTCATAGTAGTGGTCTGTGGGATTTAAAATTATGAGTATGGTGGTCCCTGAGGTCCAAAAGGTTGGTGACTCCTGCTTTAAACCATTTGGCTGTTTATCGTTGTGAAAAGATTCAAAAATCTCAAAAGAGTTTCTCCCCCAACACATTCTATTTCAACAATATGCAATTCCTTATTTGGCGATTGAGCAATCCACTTTTAAATGTCACCTGACCCACAATGTACTGAGTTACGCCACATAAAATGAAGGTCGAGTTACTCTAGTACAGAGGCGTCAAACTCACGTCGTCACAGTGGCGTCACATGACAAGTTGGGACTCCCCCCCCCCTTTGCTAAACTGGGTGGGGAAGGGGCCAGCATGTGACGCATCGGGTCAGCAGGCCGCGAGTTTGACACCCCTGCCCTAGTATCACCCTTTCCTGATTTTTCCACCCTCCATTATCATCAAGAGTAGGATAGGAAAATGGTGATTTTTTAAAAAAAAAAAATGCTGACTTAAAATTTACTCACCTGGGCTAAATTTGCAATACTGTGATATTAACCCTTGTGAGTCAATATCAATGTCAGCTGTACAGTTTCCATAATCCTGTGACAGAAGAAAAAAGAGACCGTCAGCTTTGAAGCTGTGTTGAGATTCGATGCTCCCACACTGCCACAAGCCTGAAAAAGTGGGAGGGGGGGTTCGATTGAGTAACTCTAAGTCAGGGGTCTCAAACTTGTGGCCCGCGGGCCAATTGCGGCCCGCAGGACGATATCCTGTGGCCCCCACCATGATATGAAAGTATAATATTAGTGCGGCCCGCAGGGGGAATGGACCTCTGAAGGAAGTCCCGCCCGCCGTTCCTCGTCGTGGCTTCTTCTCCACCCTGAACTTTAACAAGTCCAAGTACAGGTCCAGACTTACTGATGATCATCTTCAAGCCATACTGAGGGTCTCAGGTGCCTCCTCTCTCAAGCCAAATGTGGCTCAGATATGTGAGAGGAAGCGTTGTCAAGTCTCTGGCAGCAAGGAGTAAGCTGGAGAAGCCATGTTATTGGAGAAATCATTAACTGTTGATGACATTTGAGGATATTTTTTTAACAACGTTTGTTGTGGAATCCCTTATGCGGCCCAGCCTCACCCAGACTCTGCCTCCAGCGGCCCCCAGGTAAATTGAGTTTGAGACCCCTGCTCTAAGCAGACAAAATAAAATTATTTTGTTAGTTCAAGGTCATTGAGTATGGCGCAGAATGAAATAGGGATCTTACTTTAGGACAGATCGTGATTGGGCCATGTGATGTGATGATGGCCAAGGGGGGGATGGCTTTGCAGTTTTGAATATTGCAAGGAAGCCCGAAAACTTTCAGATTTGGGGTTCCACAGATGTGTCAGTTACTATCTAAATAAAGCAATCTTTGAGATATGTCTGTTTCGGAGTTATTGGCTGGAAAGGAGGGTTGCTGGAATGCTGGCAGAGACATCAGTTGAGCTCTTAGGTGTTCAGTGGGACATCACAGGAGTTGTGAAGAGTTGTGCACATTCATTTTCCACTGTTAAGAAACAGAACTCATCACCTTTCATAGCTTTTTGATATGGTTTGATAATCCGTCAAGTTCACTCTTAGTGAGTATCATTGTTAGTGAGACCTTTGCTGGCTGTACTTAAATACAGGTAGTCCTCGACTTACGACCACCACGGAGCCCCAAATTTCTGTTGTTAAGTGAGTCATTTGTGAAGTGAATTTTGCTCCATTTGCGACCTTTCTTGTCTCCATTGTTATGTGAATCTCTGCAGTTGATAAGTTATTAACATTGATTTCACTTGTCAGAAGGTTGCAAAGGGTGATCGCATGATTTGGGACACAGCAATGGTCATAAATATATCTGAATTGTGATCACATGGTCATGGGGATGCTGGAGAGGTCATAACTGTGAAACATGGTCACAAGTCACTTTTTTGTCACTGTTAAAAGTCAAGGGCTTTTGTTATAAGTCGAGAACTTCCTGTATCGCAGATAAGATCTTATATTTTTTAAAATGTGTGATGGAAGGCATGCAGATAGATCTTTGGGGAGACAAATAAAGCATCGTATTTTCTCAGTTGGGTAGATGGTTATCTTCATTTGTTATCATATCATTTGGCTGTGCCTAGTCGAATAAACAAGGGACATGGTGGCTCAGTAGCTACGATGCTGAGCTTGTCGATCTTTCAGATTGGCAGTTCGGCGGTTTGAATGCCCAGCGCCGCATAACGGAGTGAGCTCCCATTACTTGTCCCAGCTTCTGCCAACCTAGCAGTTCAAAAGCCTGTAAAAATGCAAGTAGAAAAATAGGGACCCCTTTGGTGGGAAGGTAACAGCGTCCCGTGCGCCTTCGGGCATTTAGTCATGCCGGCCATATGACCACGGAGACGTCTTCGTACAGTGCTGGCTCTTCGGCTTAGAAACGGAGATGAGCAGTGCCCCCTAGAGCTGGAAATGACTAGCATGTATGTGCGAGGGGAATCTTTACCTTTACTAGTGGAAGAAACAGATAGATAATGATGATAGATAGATAGATAGAGCTAGAGATAGATAGATGATAGATAGATGATAGATAGATAGATAGATAGATAGATAGATATAGATAGAGATAGCTAGATGATAGCTAGATAGCTAGATAGATAGAGCTAGATACATAGATAGATAGATGATAGATAGATGATAGATAGATAGATAGATAGATAGATAGATAGATAGATAGATATAGATAGAGATTGATAGATGATAGAGATAGATAGATAGATAGATGATAGATAGATAGATAGATAGATAGATAGATAGATAGATGATAGATAGATAGATAGATAAATAGATAGATAGAGCTAGATAGAGCTAGATAGATGATAGATAGCGATAGATAAATAGATAGATGATAGATAGGTAGATAGAGCTAGATACATAGATAGATAGATAGATAGATAGATAGAGATAGATAGATAGATAGATAGATAGATGAAAGAGTTTAAATAAAAAAGCTCCTAATGTAATTCTAAGTCAATAACTTTGAACCTCGCCTGAAGTTACCCCTCATCCTGGATTCCAGCCAAGATAAGACATCTAAATTTTTCCCATCCAAATCCAATAGAAATCTCTTCTTTCTTTCTATTGGCCTTTAAGCAGAGGTGGTATTCAGCAGGTTCTGACCAGTTCTGGAGAACCGGCAAATACCACCTCTGACTGGAGATTTTCCAGTATCCTTCCCCTGCCACGCCCACCAAGCCACACCCACAGGACCGGTAGTAAAAAAAAAATGAATCCCACCACTGCCTTTAAGGGGGCAGGTGACACCACCTGGACATAAAAGGCGGGGTTATTTTTTTAATGGGCCAACTTTCCCCTCAACAGTCACATGACAATATAGGCCAAATTGGCAGCTTTGAGGAATGTGAGCTTCCGCTCCCAGAATTCCCCAGTTAGCCTATTAGGTAGAGAATTCTGGGAATTGATGTCCACATGTCTTAAAACTGCCAAGAAAATCCATCTAATAGTACCCAATCTTGAGGCTGGTGCCAAAATGCAATTTCTCCACAAGTCTATTTTAATGGCATCTTTTGCCTCGTTGCATAGCAGCCTGTCAGCCCTACATACTGTACACCTGTCAGCCCTACATACTGTACACCTGTCTCTTTCTTCTTGCTGTCCCCCATAAACCTCTTTCTGATCACTTCAACGGAGGAAGAATGAATACTTACTTCTGATATCTCTAAAAAGTCACAGTTTTGCCAAGGCTCCTTCGCAGCAATTGGACATGCAGTTTCTCTTACTTGATAGATGACATGGAATTTTTTTCTAGGACCTGCCTGAAAAAAGTGTTTACATGAGTGCTGTTACAGTTTCATTTATTTAATAAATCTATACTGCCACCCATCTTGAATACATCATCCTGAGTTTCTAACAGTTAAAACAACACAGGAATAAAGTGAAACACAACCAATGACCTATATCTTTTTTCTAAAAAAGGATGTGTGTGTGTGTGTGTGTGTGTGTGTGTGTGTGTGTGTTCAGCATAACTCTGGAATGCCTCGAGCAATTTCAACCAAACTTGGTACACAGATTACTTACTCTCTGGAAATAAATACTGTGAGGGTAAGACACCTCTAACACCCCTTGGTGTGTGTGTGTGTTCTGTTAAGATACAGCCTGTTGTGCCTTCAAATGACTTCTACCGTACTGCCTTAAAATGGATTCTACTGTACAGCCTTGTGGAGTTGCCATGTAACAGCTTCACAGTACTCCACAAGGGGGCTCTCTCTGGTAACGGGGAAAATCCAACATTAAAAATTACATTTGTTTCAGATTGTTGCCGAAATCAGGGCTTTTCCTGTCTAAAGGATAAATAAATACCTGGGTAACGCCGGTTTATCAGCTAGTTAAAAATATAAATAACTTAATTTATCCCAAATCTTATTTTGATGGCCAATCTACCTGTAATGGTCCATGTCCTAGTAATTAAAAAAAAACCTGCCAATGTTCTTCTGTGTGCATGTAATGATCCAAAGAACCTCAAAGAAATACTTAAAATTGTATCAATATGGGTTGTGCTCAACTTGCAACCATTCAGTTAGCAATGGTTCGAAGTTACGATGGCATTGAAAAAAGTGACTTCCAACTGGTCGTCGTACTTATGACTGTCACAGCTTCACCACAGTTGTGTGATCAAAATTTGGGCACTTGGCAACCAGCATGTAATTTATCGTATCATCTTGGGCTGACCATTTTTTGACCTTCCCAGCTGACTTCTAACTAGCAAAGTCAATGTGTGTGTGTGTGTGTGTGTGTGTGTGTGTGTAGTTAGATTTCCTTAATGACTGCAGTGATTCACTTAACAACCATGACAAAAAAAGGTTGTAAAATCAGGTATGACTTTCTTTTTTTAAATTAATTTTTATTAATTTTCTAATTATTATATTTCTTAGTGCTTAATAAACATTGTGTTGTCTGGGTATTTAAATTGCTTAACGATACAAATTGCCTTCTTACTCTCCACCCCTTTTCCCCAGCCATTGGTCAAATAAGTCCCATGTTTGATAATATTTGGTGTCTTCTTTCTGTTTGATTTTCAATGTAAGTCTACCCATTTCTGCACAATCTAATATCTTCTTTTTAATTATCTCTTCTTCTGGTCCCATAACGTGGTTGTAAGTTGAGGACTACCTGTAATGAGCTTTGTATAGAGCTAAGCAGCATTTTGGATTCAAAGAAGAAAAAGAGTTTTCCTAGGACTCTGCAAGTACCCTCCCCTTCTGTAATATGATCCCAGAAAAAGACCCATTTGATTTAGGAATTTGTCCACAGTATCTCTATGTCTGCACCCACAATTCAGGACTTCCGCCCTTTAGAATCCAATAAAACCTTCATTCCCTAAATATTATATACCTGTAGAGCGGGGATGTGGTGGCTCAGTGATTAAGGACGCTGCGCTTGTCAGCTGGCTGACAGCCCAGGTTTGAGACCTGAGTACTTTGCAACGGGTGAGCTCCTGTTACTTGCTCCAGCTCCTGCCCACCTAGCAGTTGGAAAGCATGCAAAATGCGAGTAGATCAATAGGAACCCCTTTGCTGGGAAAAGTAATAGCATTTTGTGTTTCACCCCATGCTCTGGGTTGCAGCATATTGTCATGCTGGCCATAGGACTGTGGAAAAGTATTCGGACAACACTGGCACCCTCGGCTAAGAAACAAAGATGAGCATTATCCCCTAGAGCAGGGTGTCAAACGATTTCATTGAGGGCCACATCAGTGTTGTGGTTCATCAGCAGCCTGTGCAGACTGCAGTGGAATCGGACAGTGGGGAAGAACGGGGACCAGTCTGGAAAGTACTCGGACAAGGGTCCTGCGTCCGATGCGGAGATGGGTCCAGGACCATCTGGGAGTGGGGTGCTGCCTCCGGAGCCTCTGGAGTCTGGCAGCAGCGAGGCAGAGGACCCAGGGGAGCCTGTTCCCAGTGCACGTGTGTGCAGAGCTTCCAGAAGGTGAGAGCAGCTGAAACAAAAAGGGTGACTTGGGAGTAAGGCTGGGTGGTGATTGCCCCTTCCATCAGGTATAAAGGTCAGGCAAAGATGATGAAACCTTTGCAGGAAGCAAAGTCGTTCATTTGGTTCAGATTCATTCTTGAAGCTCTTTATACTTTGGTTTGGGTTTTTTTTCTAGTTCATTTGATGCTGTTCTGGCAGCACTTCCCAGGAAAGAAAGGTGGGTGCTTATCTCGAGGGACTGTTTGAGATTCATTATCGGCTGGGAATGAAAATAATTCCCAGCGTTGCAATAAAACAAGACTTGTTTTTAAAATAAGTGTGTGCGTAATTACGGCCCCGGAAGCCTTGGTCAGAACAATCAGGGTTGTGTTTGACCTTGGAGGGGTGGGATGGGAATGGCTGGGTGGGCGTGGCCAGCTTGATGTCACTTGTGTCCGGGGAACTTGTGTGGCCCGAGTGCTCTGCCAGCACTAAGGGGCTCTTTCAGTTAACACCCCTGCCCTACAGTTAGATATGACTAGACAGGGAAAGCTTTACCTTTACCCCTGTAGGATCCTAGATAAAGAAAGTGTTGTTTAACTAAGGAAACTCTTACTGGGGTTGACTATTCTTCCATACAAAACAACAATGCCAGCAAAAGCAGTTTAGTGCTAGCTCTTTTGCAGATCTGCTGTTTTTCTCACTGTAGGAATGTTTTATTTGTACAACTCCCATGCAGGTGGATTTGTGAGAATCCAAACAGAGGTTTTTACACCTTAACGGCTGTTTTGGAGACAAAAATGCATGCTGGCTGGGGAATTCTGGGAGTCCAAACCCAACCTCTTAAAGTTGTTGAGACTGAGACATCTGGATAGCCTCAACTTAAAGCTAACTAATGTTGAAATTCACGCCAGCTTCAAGAATCAAAAACATTATTGGAGTCAAAATTTCTTGCAGGTGTCTCTTGTGCCGCAAAACAGTCCTTTCAATTCAAGAGGCAAATCAAGTTTAAATTCAAAGCAAACTTTCAGTAAATGTGTAACTGATCAAATATTTAACCTCTGTAAACATCGCCTGATTTTTGCCCGGACAACATGAATGTTGGAGGCAGGAATGCATTGCCTATTTGTAACATCTACTACTTCAATCCAGAGATGACTCCATTTTGTCTACTGAGTACAATTCCAAGAACTGAGCCACAGAAAGGGGGAAGTGCTGAAGTGGGACCAGGGCAAAAATATAATCCAATTAAATGTAAATTAAATTAGCTGTATGCAATTCCCCTGATCGATCCCCATGTTTATGCTTAGAAACATTAACTAAGGTTTATCACGTTGAGCTACTTCTTACAATATCCTGCTGGAAATTAAACCCACCCCTCTCCTACGAAAAGGAAATATTTTAGGATATACTAGAAAGACAGAATATTTCCCCTAAAAAGAAAAGTAGAAACTCAGAGTCAGAAACTCAGCCCCCCCACCTTTGCTAATGGACCATTACTCTGACCTGGGCCAGTCTATTTTACATAACAAAGATCTACTCCATGTAGAGCTAAATAGGAGTTGCCCATCCAGCAAGGCTCAACCAAGCCTGGGTCTCAAAAGACAGCCTACAGAGTTGCCCCTGCATGGCCCCATGGGAGTCTGGCAACCAATCAGAATACAAGCTCAAATTCAAATCCCAGCAGAGGGCATAAAACCCAGGGACTCTCAGCATCTCTTCCCTTTTCCTTCACCCAACATCTTGAAGTATGTGATCACCTTTTTTTCCCCACCCAAGGCATGTGATCCTGTCCACCATTAAACCATCTTTCCAAGCAGTCACCATGTTTCCAGTGTCTTCCTTTCCCCACTTGGAACTGAACCCAGAAGGATATTTTCTTACAACAATCCTAAACTACAAATAATTCAACTGCAGTTTTGCTTTGCTTGCTATCCAATTTAATTCCATGAATAGATATATAAGAAGTATTGTTATTGGATGGTCTATTGCAGCGATGGTGAATCTATGACAAACATGTCTAAAGTCCCATGCCGCGAAGAATTTATCAACGCCTGACAGCTATTCTCGAAAAGATGCTCCATACTCTTGTGATTTTAGGAGTTTGTGGGGCCATGTCAGAATGAGACATACTCTTGCATAGTTTTTTTGGACCCACTGGAATTTGCACGAAGGGTGGTGCTTTCCTGTAGTTCTAGCAGCTGCAGAGGGCATGGAAGAACGTTCTCTGAAGTTGCTTCAAGAATGACATCCCAAAAGGTTGTTAAAGGGCCATTAAAGCCTGGGCCAGTCTATTCTACATAACATAGATCTACTTCCTTAAGGCCATTCAATTGCCCTTCATTGCACCACCCACCAAGTTTCAACCAAACTTAGCACACGGACAACCTACAAAACTAACTATGACCTCTGACAGCAACCAATCAGGATATTCTTCCTGTGCCCCAGGAAGTTCAAAGCCAGAGAGGGTATAAAACCCAGGGACTCTCAACATCCCTGCCCTTTACTTCGCCCAAGAGCTCCAAGCCATTTGGTCCTATCCACCATTAAACCATCTTTCCAAATAGCCTCCATGTTTCCAGAGTCTCTTCCCCTACTTGGAGCTGAACCCAGAAGGACATTTCTTCCAACAACACATCAGCAGAGTCCCATGAAGAATTTCCCAAATTTTTGACATGTCGAACCCAAAAGGCTTGCCATCATTGGTCTAGTGGTGCAGGGGTGTCAGACTCAATTTCATCGAGGGCCGCATCAGGGTTGTGTTTGACCTCGGGGGGACCCGGAATGGGCGTGGTCAGTGTAGGTGTGGTAGGCTCAACATCACTCGTGTCGGGGGGCACCTGTGGTGGTCTGAGCACTCCGCTAGAGAGAACAGGCTCCCCAGTTGTGACGGCCTCCCACAACCCTCTGCCAGTGAAAATGGAACTTGGGAGGACCTGAATGCCGCCATCCCGAGTTCCATTTTCACTGGCAGAGGCACCTCCGGCCAGTCCTTCCCTGTTTCCAGAGGGGCCCTGTAGGCCAGATCTAAGCACCCCGTGGGCCAGATCTGACCCCAGGCCTTGAGTTTGACCCCTGGTCTAGTGGTTAAGGCACCAGGCTAGAAGCCAGGAGACTGCGAATTCTAGTCCCACCTTAGGCATAAAAACTGACTGGGTGTCTTTGGGCCACTCTTTCAACCCAATCCACCGCACAAGGATGTTATATTGTGGGGAAAATAACAGGTGAAGGACTCTTTTATTTATTATTTATATTTATATATTTATTTCAGAACAGCCCATCACGTAAATCACCAAACCGGTAGTTACACTGGTCGGATCCCATCCCTGTGGACATCTCCTTCAATGCAGAGCATGGATCAATTTTAGCATTACCAAAGAATTCAAATATATGGAGATCCAAGTTAGACAATGTTAAATGGAAAGTACCCGTTGGTTGCCTCGTACTATGTTTTGTATGGCAAAAAAACAGAATCGGGAAGATTGCTCTCCCAAAATATGGGATTACAGTTCCAATAATCCCCACCCCACCCCGATGTACTTGAAAAGTACCACCATACCTATGAAAGTTGTTTGAAGACTTGGAAGAATTCCCCCCCCCCCCAAAAAAAACCCAAAACAAAACAAAGTGATTGTAAATAAAATACTTGGTTGCAATACAAAGTCCCGCAGAGCTTGTGGAATTACATCGAGCTGAATTATAGTAGCTTTAGATTATTTTAGGAAGGGTACGCTTTGTGTCATTAAAACACTCATCCAAACAGAAAGGGGGAATTTTTTTTTAGAGTGGGGGGAATGGGAATGGGATTTTTCTCTTTTGCCAAAGAGAAAAAACTGAAATCAAACTGAAATGAAATACAGTATAGATGACTACTTGCCATGCATGTAATAATTTTTTTCTCTTTCTGCTAAATTAATCATTAAATCTGGGGAAAACCCTGACCACCATTCAATGTTGGGTAGAAGGGGCTGATGGTGCCTCTCCCAATTATGAAATTCCCATTAATTAGCCTTTTGATGTTGTTACCAAATTTACTTACTATTCTGCAGGCACGAAGAATGACATAGTGCACTCTTGTGCAAGTCCCTAATTATGAAATTCCCTTTAATTAGGTGCTTGAGGTTCTGGTTGTTACCAAATTTACTTACTATTCTGTGGGCATGAAGGATGACATTGAGAGCAAATTTATTTCCTTGAGTTCTGTCTACATCTTCATTAAGTTCTGTTATTGCTCTAGCCACAGCTTCAAAAACTTCTGGGTCATCACAGCTCACATCATCTTGGACAGGACCGGCTTGGCAAAGTCCAACGCTGAGGACTAGCAGAATGAAGACTTCCATAGCCAGGTGAGAGAAGCTTCTTTGAGCTTCTGATGAGCATGGAAAAGAGAGAAAGAGCTTCAAGATAACGGACAAGGTGTATCTTCCTAACAGATACCAGAGAACTCAAAGCAAACAAAGCTATTTCCTGGCCTCAAGTCAAGTCACAATCTATAAGCCATGTAAACAACCTTTGGGATTTATTTAAGCCACAAACTTTTTTTTTTTTAAAAAAACAAGTTTATTCACCTGCAAGTTGGCAATCTCAAGGTTTTCAAAACATACGGTCCTGATGGTAGGTTATGTTGGGTAATTTCAAGGATATTTTCCAGAATAATGCATAAGGGGGTTCTTAAAACATCTGTTCTTAAAACATCTGTTTCTAAGCAGTTGTAAGTGGAGTTAACCCCATTTTACAATCTTTCTTGCCACAATAGGGTAAGTTAATCACTCCAGTTGTTAAGTACTAGTTCAGTGTCCTCTGATAGTGAAATTTAGCATCCCAGGTTGTAATGGAATTACAATCTTTAGAATATCTTCCATTTTACTGTGAATCATTTCCCAGTAATGTTTGGATTTACAATATTGCAACCACATATGAAGAAAGCATCCAGGCAATATGTTACAGAATCCAGATATTTTTAAGGCAAGGGATTATTCATTGCAGCAATCAAGACTGTAGTAATATAGAGGTAGTCTTCAACTTAGTTTCATTTAGTGATCATTTGAAGTTATAATGGCACTGAAAAAAGTGACTTATGATAGCTTTTCACACTTATGACATTCCTGTAGTCACATAATCAAAACTTGTATGCTTGGCATATATTTATGATAATTGCAGATTATGTGAACTGCAACCATCTTTTTGTGACCCTCCAATGAGCAAAGTCTATGGGTAACCATGCTACTATTTACTAAGTCTGCATTACTATTACTATTAATCCTCCTATCCTTCCTTTCACCCATCTCCTCCCACTTATGACTGCATGACTGTTGCTTGTATCCTAATGATTTTTATTGACTGTTTCCTAGTATGATTTGATTGCTTATTGTATACTATGATTATTATTAAGTGTTGCACCTTATGATTCTTGACTCTTGACGAATGTATCTTTTCTTTTTAGTACACTAAGAGCATTTGCACCAAGACAAATTCCTTCTGTGCCCAATCAAAAAGAATTCTATTCTATTCTATTCTATTCTATTCTATTCTATTCTATTCTATTCTATTCTATTCTATTCTATTCTATTCTATTCT